TGTCAATACTACTGTTGTTATGATTAGATTAAGATTATTGTTTAGTGTTGTTAGTGTTGATTGTTTTAGATAAATTTAAACCATTGAAATGATGAAAGAATCATTAGATCAGATGAATTTGAATAATTCTGTAAATGAATTGATGTAGGACTAGAAAGTATATTTGGTAAAGGTGAAATAGACGATGATGATGATGATGATTTGATGATGATGAATTTAATGTAATTTTATTATCATCATGTAAATTATGTGATTTTTCTGATTTTCTTGATGGATGAATAGATTATGAGAAGTTTGTCTATTTTCTAATGTATAATTTTTTTACATAAATCTATTGTACCATGTTGTGTTTCAATATGACGTCTTAAATCAACTTTACGTTGAAATGCACGTAAACAATGAAAACAAGAGAATGGTTTAAAACCAGTATGTTTACGTGAATGTGTAATTAAATTGGATGATTGACTAAATGCTTTACCGCATTGTAAACAAATATAAGGTTTTTCACCTAAATTTTTAAAAAGAAATACAAAAAAATTAAATATCTAAATAAATTGATGTTAGAAATTAGTTTTGAATAGATTAATCAGTTCCATTATTATTGGGAAACTTAATAGTAACATTTTGTTAAACAAAAAAATAAACGAACAAATTTTGCGAGGAGCGGGATCGTGGGTGCGTATTGCTGAGGAGTCCGATGCTAGGACGAAACGGCCATTCAATGCTTTCATGTTTTTTTATGGTGATCTAGCTTCAGTTAACTCATGAATTCAACTATGAAACCATAAAAGACTTTAGACTATCTTTTCATATAAATTTGAATATGTTCTAAGTGAACTGTAAGACAGTTACTATTATAAATTGACCAAATTTATAGTCAGCAGATAAAAATTTTGTTGTTTAAATGAAGTGTTCACTTCAACTTAGGGTTTTTCTATTTATTTTAAGGACCGATCATCAGTATATTTTTAACATTGTTAAATTTTCGTTTTTGATGAATAAACTTTTAACTAAGAATTTGTTGGAATAGGAGATTTGTGAAGATAGTGAAATTTTAGTAGTTGAAATCATGGACTGATCTTAGCTAGACCAACATCGGAAGTTTGGAAGCACTAGACGGCCATCTCGTTTGATTACAGGACTTATTAGCTAAGACGATTGCGTGATTTAAGCTGTGAAAGTATTACAACCTCCACAACTCTTCTGTACTAATAATGATGTGCTCATTAATGACTATATTCAAGATGTCTCTCGGAATTTCGATGAGTAATGGAGTCCCATCTGTGTCGGGTGTGTGACAGTTATGCACTACATGAAAAGGATGAATGATCGCTCAATATCATGAACTGGTTGAAGCTAGATAATAACACTATTGGACGATAGTCCAGTGGTGTGTGGATTAAACATTCGCAGGAGAGACTGGTGTTGGGTACGATTCATGTTTAGGGGTCGTAGATACGCACCGCTGAAGAGACCCACTCTAGGACGAAACAACCATCCAGTGGTTTCAAGTTTTCAATGATTGTCTAACTAATATCAGCTCGTAATTCATAATGTGGAAGGATTTCTTATTATTAAACCTGAAAATACTTTTAAAAGCATTTATCATTTTAATGAACATAATTTAATATGGACATCTTTTCCAGTCACTTTTCGATTAGAATTAGTTCAAATGAAATTTAACATGAAGGTAATTCATTGTACATCACTGATTCCATATATTGCAATAAGAGTGATATAATTAGCTACTTTTTGGATCATTAATTTTGATATACGATTATAGAACCTGAAGAGAATTGATTGAGAACAATATTCATTGTGTTTTTGATATGATTGGAGCTTTTAAGCAGTTCACATACATAATTCTCAAATCAATAGTAATTAGTTATCATTATATCAAATCCAAACATCTTTTTAATTATTCTTTTCTTATTTAAGTAAACTGAATCCTATGAACTGATTGTTTGGTAATCAGAATGCGTTACAAGTTATAATTCATGATAACAAAAACAGCTGATCTTATGTTGTAGTTTGCTTATAGAAATCGATATAACTTCTACATAAACCAACGAATTCCTACGAATTATTAGTAAGCAACTGCTAATGACAAAGTGATTTATAGTTATAATTATTGAGATTCAGTTATTCAACTGATTATTTAATTTGTATCAACGTCTTAATTATTCTAAGAGTGAAGATTGAGAAAACGAATATTTCAAAACAGACCAGTTAGAAAAAGAAAAAATAAGTTCAAGTCACATTAAACTAACTCATTTCTTACAGTATTTCTATGTGCTAGTAATATTTCATTGATAACATAAATCATTTATCAATTCCCTGCTTATAAATTCAACTTGCTGTAATATTGTTTGTCTCAGAGCCAGTAATACTACCCAGTTGCTCGGAACAGAAATAGATACAGGGTAAATCGAATGTATGACTGATGATGAGTATTTTAATTACTAAACTACCTCTGATGAGTACATCTGCCTGCCAAGTTACTTTGGAGAATACTGATATATCTACTGTTTGATATGATGATAGTAATATAAAGATTCTGGTTTAGCAACTTCTTACAGGTCTAATAATCTTTCATTAGATACACTGGAACACAAATGGTACTATTCGGTCATTTTTCAACATTATTTAAAAAATTCTAATAAGAATTAGAAAGAAACCTATGGGACTCAATAGTCCTTAACAGTTAGCTCATGATCAAATCAAAAATGAATCTAGTTTCAAGTAGTTGATAACAATATATATATATATATGAAGGGTATTTTGCAAGTACACAGTGTCAAAATATTATTTACTTACCAGTATGTGTATAAGTATGCTTTTTCATATCAGATTTTTGATGAAAACGTTTACCACAATATTGACATGGATAAGGACGTGTATCACTATGTATTAATAAATGTGTACTCAATGTAGATGAACGTTTAAATGTTTTACCACATTGAGAACATTGAAATTGTCTATCTTGACAATGTACACTTTCATGTTGATATAAACTTGTAGCATGACCAAATGTTTTCTGACATAATTGACATTCAAATGGACGTTTACCATTATTATGTGCTCTGTTTGATCAAATGAAAGTAAGAAAATCAGTAAATGATACTTGCAAGAATAAATAATCATTGTTTAAGTCAATACATGAAATAGAAAAATAAAAAAACGTATCATTTATGTTAAATTTCTTACTTATGACTTTCATTGAAGTAGTCTGATGTTTGAAGAAACTGAGGTTTGGTTAAATTAAGTATAATTCTAAAAAACGAATTTGACACATTTACTTGAACTGTATGAATTAATTTTCTGCTTTTTTGACATTTTCCCCTCCGAATAATCTAAAAGTTTTGTTGGTTGCAGACTGATCACAGATTGATTTCTATTGAAGTACTATTGTAAATCATAGAGCACTGAATGTTTGCTTCGTCTTACTGTGGGACTCCTCAGCAGTGCGCATCTATGATCCCTCTTCTCGAGATTTTAACCCAGGACCTATCAGTCTGGCGCGTGAGCGTCTAACCATTAGACCACTGAGCCGGGATCCAACAGTGTTAATATCTAACTTCAACTAATCCACGAGATTGAGCAACACATCGAATCTCAGGAGGTGGGATCGTGGATGCGCACTGCTGAGGAGTCCCATAGTGGGACGAAATGGCCGTCCAATGCTTACAGGTTTTTTATGGTGGTCTAGCTTCAATTGACTCATGATCTCAACTAATAAAATTTTTGTTAATGTTTTGAGTAATGCAGTCACTGAATACCAAATGTTAAATATATCATTCTAGCAATGTGTTTTCCAATACGACATAATTTTTTTGAGGTTTTTGAATAATACAATTCTGCTTAGTGCATATTCTATGAAGCTATAAACATGTACAAAATCTTTAATTAAATCTATGGATTATAAACACTAGGAAAATTAAAAATTGCAACTGAAGTATTATTCATTTCCTATGAATACAGAGATTTTAGATGCCTAATGGACTAGTTTAGGCATATTGATTGTTGATCAAATATCATTACTTGTTAGTAAAACCTAATGACTCTAATTAGATCGTATGAATGATTGTTGTCAAAATATACATCCTGGCTATCCTCGTATAAAACTATCGACTTAACTCACGTTAGTGAATAACGGAATTAAAATAAGTCAAATATGAGAATAAATTTTTGAATGCATATATTTTTTACACTGATTGATTTGAACAAACAATCAGAGGAATGAAGCGAATAAAAGAGAGCAAAGCAGGATGACGCGTAGTGGACAAGGCATGTGAACCAACTCGATTTAATCAAGCGTTGATCGTCACACAAAAATAGGCTACAGACATGTGATGAGTAGGATAAGATGTTCACACAGATGCTCATATAAAATCAGTCAAGGTGGATATGTGAATAATTAACAAGGTCAAAACGTGACTCAAGAAGGATGGATAAATTGGCCTGTCCAGAAGTTAGAAGTCAGTTATGTGAGCTTAACACAGGAACCGACATTACAAACCTACTTCAGTTTATACAATCGGATATTATTATTTACACTGGCTTATAAGAAACTTTTAACTTAAATCTAAGTATATAAACCCTATACTTGATAATTAATTGAACTGTTTCATAAAACTTAGCTAGTTAGAATTAGTCTTCAAGGAATTCTATTGGGTCATTTTTTATACTAGTTGGTACTGGACCGTAAGGTATATTTGTTATAGTCAATGAGCTAATAATAACTACCAAATTCGAATCCACATCATCCAGCTTCACGTTTTAAGACATTACCAATGAATTAGTCAGGGAGTAACTGACATTCTGCAAGACTCAGATATTTACAGTTGATTGTGTTTTTCTAGTCCTTTAGCACTGATGAGTCTTTATTGCAATATAGTTATTAGTTTGAATAATTTGATGATCATTTTAAAGGTGTTTCATTAAATCTATGAAGTCAGATAGATTTTTAAAAAATAATCTAAATATGCTAAGTAAAGATCTAACATCAATTTTATAAAAATCTTATCAACAACTAACCTTCTAACATGTACTTCTAAACCATGTGCAGTAACAAAATACTTATTACATAAATTACACTTAAATATATTCATTGGAATATTTTCAGGATTTTGTTTAGGATCTAATATAATTTCTTCATCATCAACAACAATATCATCATCATCATCATCGTCATCATCATCACCACCATCATCACCATCTTCATCGTTATAACAATCAGTTTCATCAACTTCTAATTCATTATTTCCATTCATTATTTCATTATTATCAAGATTATTCATCTCCTTATCTGCGTTAGAATATTTCTTTCTCTTATTATTATGATGATGTTGATCAATAATTTGTGAATTTAAATTATTTTTTATTGATTGTGATAATTTATTAAATTTTATTGATTTATTTTTTAATTTTGATTGATTTATGATTATTTGTAGATCAGATCTATTATTATCATGATTTCTACTTAGTTTATGAGTATTATTACTATTAACAGTAGTGTTAGTAGTGGTGGCAATAGTAATATTGGTAGTAGTATGATTTTGATTATGTAATAATGAAATTATTTAATTGTTTATCATCATTATGATGATTATTAAAATGATTATCTAATTGTTGTTGATTGATTAATGATATATTCTCATTGATTATTGTTGTATATATCTGATTAAAATGATTTTGATTAAATAAAGAAATATTTACAGGTAAATTATGATTCATTTGTAATTGTTTAATAGTTTGATAAAATAATGAACTTAAAGTTTGTAATTCATTTGGAATAAAATTATATGGTAACATTTTTGATGTCATTAAAGTTTGTGGTGGTGTTATATCTTGTGTAGTTACAGTGAATGAAGATGTTGTTGCTGTTGCAGTTGTTGTTGTTGTTGTGGCTACAGATGATAATGTTGGTGTATTGATCATTTGTAACCAATATTGATGAAATTGTGATAACGATGATGATGATAATTGTGCTTGTGAAAGAATTTGATTAAAATGATTATTTTGTGAATTTGGTAAATTGATTAGATTATCTATTTCAGTAGTATTATTGTTAAGTGGAAATATAGGATATGGTTGTTGTTTAATATAAGAATTTGATAATAGTGGATTATATGATGGATTAAATAATTGATTACCATTATTATTGCTACTATTATTATTATTATTAGATGATGGATCCATGTTTTTACTATCAAAGTTGTTTCTTAAATGAATATCAGAAGGAATCTTACAATGACTATTCATATTAGTATTATGAATTGTTATTACATTATTTGAAAATCCAGTAGTATTTTTATTAGTTTCTTTTTTAAGATAAGATTGTTTTAATTTATGTTTATTGTAACGCATAGGATTTGAATTTGAACGTGATTGTTTACGTATTCGTAAATCTTTTGGTGCTAAAATGAAAAATTTGAAAAAATAAGGTAAATTGAATAGAATAATCATTTTGACGAAATAATTAGCTGACCCATTGTAGACTAATGTAATATAATGATTGAATTCATGAGTCAATTAAAGCTAGACCATTATAGAAAACTTAGAAGCACTGGGTAGCTGTTTTATCCTAGTATGGGACTTCTTAGTAATGCGCAGTCACGATCCCATTCTTGTTCTCGCAAGCGAAAGCTTAACCTCTAAACTATGGTGATCTAACTTTAATTGTCTTATGAATTCATCCATTAAATTACTAAATTTTTCACAAAACCTCCTTCCGATAATGTAATATAGTTACCAGGGTGGTTTACATAATTTTGAAATCACTCAGTCAGTAATAACATAGAACTTCGCACGTACGTACATCAGTTCGAGTTGCCACACCATATTAGCATAGAGATGCAATTGTTGATTCAAATCCCGTAGTGGTAGAGGTAGTAAAAATGTAGGCAGTAATCAGAAAGATTAGGGTTTGAAGATGTTATTCAAAGAGTATAATCTAGTGAAATAAATTTGGAATGAGAAAAAAAAGGGACATGAAGAATTCGGAAGATTAAAATCTGGGAGAACACAAAGAGTAGATGCACTTGCACCATTGCAATCGACTTTGAGTCACGTCACTCAAGGTCTCAAATCATTGATTGCTATCATCTCGCGGATCCCAACCAGGTAGTCTACACCTACCAACATAGTTCAGTTCACTTGTCAGTGACTTCATGGACTTGTGCCATGTTTTGGTCTGGCCTCCCAGAGCTTTCTTCCAACCTACTCCTACACCACTGAACATCGCACGTCGAGGCAGTCAGTGGTTGGGCATACGTAACACGTGTCCCAGCCATCTCAACTGATGAAGTTTCACTACTTCATCAGTTTTGAAATATTTATTATTAAGAGTTAAACTATGAAATAAAAACTATGTAATTAGATTTTAGACTAGTTTTTGAATTTTGATAAGGGAAGTAATAATTTATAGAATTAACCAAGTCAAGAGTACAACAGTGATTTTTTGTCATGAACTCATATTATTTGGAAAATTATCGATATCGTATGTTATGGGAAATATGCATTACTGTGAGATTTTAAACAAAAATGAAACATTAAATGATCTTTGTTTTTCAATGATTCTTCAATTAATGTCAAACTATTAGAAAAACTATCTTCAAATCAAACTAATCTCTACAAACGAACTAATTTAATAAGCAAAATACAACTGATGAAAAAACAATGCTGAATATGAACACCGAAGAAGCTACAAACACTTACTAACAACTTCATACTAGTTTATCATGTTAGTGGCCATTTTGACTTAGTAGTTCACTGGATAACGCATTGACGTTTAAAATTTGAAAAAAATGTCTTGGATTCAGGTCTCAATATAAATATCAGTGTTGAAATACTGGTACATTCAGCTAAAGAGTCTTAAACAAGATAAAACCTACGTTATAAATTCTACCGCTTCAGTTACAGACTAAATAAACCAAAGTATTTATTTATTTAATCATTCATAGAGTATTTTTTTTTATTCGTAAGCTTACGTAAAATCGTTTCTATATAATTTGAATTTCATTCAGATTATCATCTTAAACTTTCTAATCATATTAGGCTTTTTTCATTAATCCATCTCATGTATAAGCCTTAATTCGAGTTCTCCTTATAAGAATAAATTGTCAGTGATAATGACAATAATTTTATATGTCTTTTTTAAAAAAAGCCTCAACCTTTTTAGAAGAGTTGTTCGTATTTTTAATGGACATTTAAAGGGAAAGTAATGTATTATTGATTGAGATTATGAATCAAATGATGTTAGACTACCATTGAAAACCTGGAATCACTAAACGGTCATTCCATCCTAGTATGAAACTCCTCAACAGTGCGAATTCACAATCTCATATACAGAATTCGAATCCAGGACCTTCGGTATCACACACAAACGCTTAACCTGTAGACCATCGGACCGGCAATCATCGGTAAATGAGGTCTAACTTGAATCAATCCTAGATACTGAACAATCATCTTGTGCTCATTAATGACTAGCTTCAAGAGGTAATTCTTCGATTTCTAATACAAAGCCATGATCAGTAGAGCTAATCCGTGTCAGATTTGAAACAGTTACTCACTGAAAATGATGGAATATGATCGCACAATTTCATGAATTGATTAAAGTTAAACTGATAATTAATTAATTAATTCATATATACAGTAAATTCAATAAACAAGTATATCCTCTTTAAAAAAATAATTAATAAACTTACCATTTATATCATTTGAGCCAGACGATAGTCTTTGTTCATCATCTATCTGTTTATCATTAATCAGTTTATCATAATTAATAAATTTAGGAATAGTCAAATTCGATACAGACTGATTCATTGAAAGATGTTTAAAATGATTGTTTCTATAATGATCACTTTTCAATAATAATTTATCCGGTGTTAATACATCATATTTTGTATACTGTTCCAGTTTATTCTCAATATTATTGTTTTCATAAGAGTTTTTATTTGGTCTAAAAGAATTGGATGGAAACAATGGATAAGGATCTGACTTATTATTATTATTATCACTATTATTAATTGTATTGTAACTATCATACTGTTTCATTGTTTCAATATCAAATTGATGTGATAATTCTGACCAGGTTGTCATCGAATTATTATACGCCATTAAATGATTTGAATTCAATTTCTAGGAGAAAAAAATAATTACAATAAATGATAACATTATTTTTTGTCCAAAACAAAACAAACACAATCAATTTTATTGATGAAGTTAATAGGACTAAAAGTTCCATACTCAATCCCCCCCATAAAGTCATGAATGTGTAATGTTGAAGAGTTCCATATGAAGAAGAAATAGTTGTTTAGTGTATTCTAGTTTTTAATGATTGTTCATGCAAGATTAACCTTTATTCATCGCTACATAATTTCATATGAGTAAAATGATGTCGGTTATTTTGAAATATTTATTAGTCTCGTGATATCGAAGATCTATAATTTGATTATCGAATGTTTTAAAAATCTAATTATCACGTATTATAATAATCATTGGTAGGAATGATAACAACCGGGTGGTTATATATTCAAACACACTAACAACCTTCATATTTATCCGAATGTTTTTTATAGATTGACACGTTTTCCGGGTACAGGTTCAAGCTACACTCTAAGTATGAGGGTTAATGATACTATACGGTTACTTAAAACCAAACAATAAGAGTAGGACTCGAACATACAACTTGATGGATAAAGTTTGAACATTTTAACCAATGAATCAATGCTCTACTTCATACATTATTGAAAATACTTGTATACAATGTTTCTCAAAAAAATATGAATTCTCATAGAAGACTACTTTAAACTAGAACTAGTCTCTATAGATCTTCCACTTGAATAACATACCAGACTTTACTTTTGTTTTGAAACTTTTTTTACATCGTTTTTAAAAAGATGCTCCACAACTAAATAGTAACTATAAAATGATTTCATTGATATTGAATATTTGATTACTTAACGATTCAATTCAAAGACCGTATTAGGATTAATTCTTTTTTGTACTATCAAAATTTAATTTCCAATTAAATTTTCGACTTCAATTTGTTTTTCTTTTTTTCATTTCATTGAGATTGTTTTAACTTAATAATTGAATTCATTAGTCTATCAAAGCTAGACCACTGAGGAGTCCCATGCTAGGACGAAACAACCGTCAAATGCTTCTAGGTTTCCCATAATCCTCAAGCTTTAGTCGACTCATAAATTCAACTATTAAAATAGATATTATGTAAAATAAACAAATTAGTTTGATTTACTTCTTAAAAAGAAAATATCAATACCCTTTAAATGTTAAAAACATCATTGTCATCATTATCATTGTTATTTACCTGTTATTATCTGTTGGTCGTAATTATATTAACCCTAATAAACTCAAAATAGAATTTTAAATTTCAACACAACTAGGTTTTATGTTATCTTACCTGTAAGGATAAACAAAGTTGATGACAACAAACAAGAGTTAATTCCTAAGAGAATCTAACAATCTATATTCTATTAAAGTTCAAAGGAGATGTCCTAAGGATTAGTTATTTGTGTATATTAGACAAATTTTCATAGTTAACTTAATTCAGTTATGAGTTTAATTGTCCAATTATCGATTGCTAGTGTTATAACTGACTTATTATAATAGTTTAAATGAAGTGAATTTAAACTTTCAACTAAGCTTCGAATTTCGTGAGGTGGGATCGTGGATGCGCATTGCTGAGGAATCCCACGATAGGACGAAACAGCCATCTAGTGCTTCCAGGTTTTCCATGGTGGTCTAGCTTCAATTGACTTATGATCTCAACTATTAAAGTTACTATAATATCCACAAAATCCCGTCTGATACTAAGTTTAAAAAGTCAAGTCGTCCAATGCTCAATATAATATAAATCCTCAAAATCGTCTATCATAAAAGTAAATTACAAACAACACCAGGTTACAATCACTAACTAAACCTGAAATCTTACTATGTTTTTAGCTCCAAGTAAGAAAATTTACATTTTAAATGTGAAACATCGAAATTTGATGACAGAAATTACTCAAAACATATAAATAACTACAAAGCATAAACAATTCAAATTCTGTGATTTAAAAGTGAAACCAATTAATTTTATGGTTTCCAGTTAAACTATTGAGATAGGATGGCGGTTGGAAGTAGTCAACAGAAAACCCTTGACCTGGGTTTCGTGCTATTTGACATTCGTCAGTTAGGTGTACGTGTAATATTGAGGGGACTGATTCTCTCTGACGGATTCGATCTAGTGTCACACAGCTTCACAGTCAGAGACGTTATCACCGTTATCTCCACCATCTCAAAACCATAACTTATGAAAAGCATTGCATTGGATTGTAATGAAATGATTTTATTTATTTGAGATATAGTTATTGTGACAGATGTTTCCAAACCCATACTAGTATTATTAATTGACTATATTATAGATTTGTAATACTGAAAGGTAAAGAATACGTTCAGTATTAGAGATACATAGTGTAATGAGTATATACAGTTATTTGTTATTTCATTCTCAAGTAAATAATAAGTAGTATAAGATATTTGAAAATTATAAATATCATTCTGAAGTAAATGAAATTATATGATTCATTGTATAAAACACATTGTAATAACCCAAGTTGAACCTAGTAAATAGTTAAATCTCTTATCTTATTTGGTAGAATAAATGAATCAACATTCTGAAGATTGCTATTATTATTATTGGCTTTATTCAATATTATATTTTTGATACAATATAGAATTCTCAGCACAAAGTATTTCAACAAGTTCCTGATGATAAATATTGAATGATCTCCAATTAAGTGTTAACAGTTTAGAAATAGACATCTGAATAATATTCATTCTTTTCAATCCATATTGCCAGCCACCACGATGTCTATGAATGTACTTTTTTGTAATTTGTACAACAAAAGGTCGTAAATTTTTCATGAACGCACTTGAATATGTTATGCCATTAATAGACATAATAATGTATTAAAACAAACAATAAGATTTGTTGTAATATCTAGAAGGTAGGAATAGGTAGTCCAGTTATTTAAGCAGACCACCAGACTAGCAATCATTCGTCTGCTATCCTAGTTTCATTACAACTATAGTTATAGTGTATGCATGAATCTAAAAGTCCATCAAGTAAGAGTGTTCTAAGAAGTTAGTTCAACTAATTCTAAATATCAGTCAGAAAATAATTATAATTCATATATAGTATCAATTTCTCAGTATCATCAAACAGAAAATAATTCAGTAATCAGAGTATTGTAAACTGAGTTTTATGATTCAATTTATTTAAAATACTCTACAGAAACATCTGTCAAATATCTTCTATAGTAATATTACTGTTGAACCTCTTGAAATACAATAGTGTAAAACTGTTTTCTATTGGATTTACCCATATTCATTGTGAAAACCAATGTTTATATCATTGCAAATTTTTAGATAGGGTAATCTATTATCTAGATGAACTGACTGGAAGATAACCAACATCAATTAGCCTGTACATATTTATTATACTGTTGAATATTATCTGTTTATTGTTTGATGTTGAACAATTTAGATTCTATCATAAAACGCTTAGAAAGTTAGGAAAGTTATATCATAGAAAAATGCTTTATTATATCAAATAAACTATCAAGATAAGAAGAGTTAAGAAGTTACAAAAAATTACGTCACGCTTCAATCCATAACATTATTAATGATACTAATTTCAACAATAATATTGTTTACTTTTAATGTAGAATTATTCAACTCAATCCTTCATTATCAGAATGAGGTTTTGTGGAGATTTTAGTAATTTAATAGTTGAATTCATTAGTTAACTAAAGCTAAACTATCATGGAAAACCTGGAAGCATTGGACAGCTGTTTCGTCTTATTATGAGACTTCTCAACAGTGTTGATACACAATAGGTCCTCAGTTCGAACCCCGTGAGCAGGATCGTGGGTGAGCACTAATGATGAGTCCTGTACTAGAACGAAATGTCCGTCTAGTGTTTTCAGGTTTTCCATGGTGGTCTAGCTTTAGTTGACTTATGAATGTAACTATCAAATCGTTTATTTTATCTGTGCATCACTTCATTATTGATTAAAACTAAACAATTGAGAATAAGACAACACTAAAACACAGTAAACATTACAATAATCTATATATAAAATATAATTTTTTAACAAAAAACAACTCGAAAATAACGAATGAATGGGTTTTTTTAAAGTTTTACTTACTAGGAATGTTATATCATAGAAATTTTTTATAGTCCTTGTAGTAATGGTTAACAGTCAAAGAAAAAAATATGAGATTTGAAATAATACGTCCACTGAATTTCCAATTTCAATATCCTCTTATTGTCGTATGCTTTCTTTTATTAACTACGATTGTGGTCACAAAGTATAAATACAATTGTGAAAGACAATTTGATGAATATGGGTTTATGGTGTGAGATCTTATTTTAACAAAAAAAGAGTTAAAAGGGAGTTGTAAAATCTATACATACATATGTTTATATGTATATATATGTATATAAACATTGTACCAAAGGGAGTAGGAAGTAAATTTTAAAAAATGGCTGGAATCTGCAAATGAGAAAAATCTGTTCTCATTTTTCTTTCTTTGAGTTTACTTTTTTTTATGAGGAGGGGGAGATGTTTCCAAATTTGTTGCTGTTCATCTACACATTTCGCTCACAATAATTGTTCCCTCAATATTTTTCTGCATTTGTTTATGCATAGAAGCACAATAAGAGTTGTAGTAGTAGTATTAGTATTAAAAATAGAGATTGAAATTAACTTATGGAATTTGTTTACTAGTAGAAGAAATCATACTCAGTCCTTGACTTAGTTTCTCTCCCTCTCATATTGTTTCAACAAACTTGTATGTGTATGTGTGGTTACTTTAATTATTTCGCTTCATATACACACATGCACATTTAATAACTGTTCACTCATTTACTCAATCTCATCCTTTCTTTCTCTCCGTCTGTTTGACTTTAGTTGTTGAATGTGTTCTCATTGATTCATTCTCTTTTCTCAATCATTGTCCAATTGATGATAAATCCCCCTTTAAACATTGAAATCTTTTCACTGTTATTCAAAATCAAGGCGATACATATTGTGTGATTAACTTGTAAG